TGCAAAACTTTATTTTTTAGATTGGTTGTTTTATTTTGAGATGTATTTTTCAGGATCTAGTCAAAGTGGAGATCTGAGTTGGAAATATGGATATAACCTGAATCCAAATGACAAAAATTGCATTAGATGCAATTTTTGTGAAAAAGATACAAAATGGGGCATAAACCGGTTTAAGAAACATCTTGCCGGTATTTAAAAGGCATGTTGCCCCATGTAAAAATGTTTCTGAAGCTATCAGAGAGGAGATTAAACAATATATGAGTTCTGTAAAATAAAAACATGGACAATATCCTTGTCATTTGAATAAATCTATTTCTGATACTTCTAGAAAAAGTGATCTGGGTTGGAAGTATGGTTATAACCCAAAACCAAATGATAAAAATTGTATAAGGTGTAATTTTTGTGAAAAAGATACCAATGAGGGTATTAACGGATTCAAGAAACACTTTGCAAGTATTAAAGGGAATGTTACTTCTTGTAAAAAAGTTCTTAAAGCTATTTGGGATGAGATTAGATAGCTTCTGAATTTAAAAGAACCAGAAAATGATGAAAATGAGCTTTGTTCTATGAAAATATTTTCTCTAGGTTCTTCTAAACGTGGTAATCCGGGTTCGAAGTATGGTTATAACTCGAATCCGAATGACAAAAATCGTGTTAAATGTAATTATTGTGGAAAGGATACTAATGGGAGCATTTACTGGTTTAAAAAATACGTTGTCGGTATTAAGGGGGATGTTGCCCGGTGTAAAAATATTCATGAGGCTATCAAGGAGGAAATTATACAATATTTTCAGCGAAGCACAAAAATATAGAAAAGGGTAGAGCAGCCAAGACTCTTAGGGCCTCATCTGTACATACTAGTAAGAAGGAGGTAGAAGAAGAGGAAGAGGAGAAGGAAGAGGTAGATTCAGAAGAAACAAAGGAGGACGAGCGTTATATTGAAGAGGAGATGACTCAGATGATGATGGCCTCGAATCTGATGCATACGATGAAGCTTACCCTATTCCTTTTGATGACGATGAAGATGATAATGACTGAAGACTCTTGGTGTTGAGTGTTGAGTGTTGACTGTTGTGTTGAGTGTTGACTGTTGTGTTGAGTGTTGACTATTGTGTGCTAGACTGTATATTTTCTGAATTTCTGTATATTTTTTTTCCTTATTTTAGTTTCTAGTTTCTAGTTCTACTATCGAACTTTTGTGTATTCAGTCATAGTGTATCAGACTATTAGTGTATGCTTGTATGGTTTTACTGTTTTAGCATTTTATGAAAATATGGATTATGGTCTTATGGATTATAAAAATTCTCTTCTGAACTTCTATCTTTTTTTTTTAATTGGGATATGGTCTTATAGATTATCAAAATTCTTATAGATTATGGGCTTATGGATTATCAAAATTCTTATGGATTAATCATCATCAGTCATCAGTTTTTTTTTTTTCAACTGGGCCGCCCAAGTTTTGGGCACCTGCCTAGGCACTGGGCGGCCAGAACCCCCAATGGCCGCCTGAGTGCCTCCTAACGCTTTTTGAAACACTGGGTTCCTTGGTAGGAAATGAGGACAATGGAATTGTCTCTTCTCCTACAGTTTGCAAGGAAGTAGGCAGTATTGAAATCGCCACAATTGAGCCATTTGACTCGAGATCTTTACGCCTAGTAAAGATCATCTTTTCTGAGAAGAACTTGTAGGTCGGACTTGAGCTGAAGTCTAGAGAGAGGTTCAAGGGCTAGAGTCTTCTAGAAGGTCCAAGTCATGAATAGAGGCAAGGATAGAGCCTTTGGATGCTTGGAAGTTCCCAGGTAAGTTAAGCCTCCATTCCTTGAGCGAAGATAAATTAAAAAAATTTATAAATTTGAATATTTTCCTAATTTTTATCTGCATCACGGACCCCGACTTGAAACCAAAAATAAAAAATATATATAATTTAAATGTTATGTTAGATATATACATATATTATTTAAATATTATAACTAAAAATATATAATTATATTTGTTTAAAGATTATTAAAGTATTATACAATAAATGTTATTTATATAATAACATTATTTGGTTTTGGTCCACATGGACCTGGACAGGACCCGAATAGCGTTCGGGTCCAATATTTGGGCCCAGACCCGACCCACCAAGTCCAATTATTGGATCCATACCCGAACCCATGTCGGGTCTGGATGTTGGGTCCTGGGTCAGGTCCGAGTAGACAAACAATGATCCCAAAAGCCAGCAAGTCAAGGTGTGACGTTACAGCTCAAAACAAGAACCATGGCTACACCACCTGTATCAGGACGGAAGCAAGTCCACGGTCAGACAAGAATCTCTATGAGAATGGGATGAAGCACGAAAAAACTCAGTGCTGCTTTGCTAGTGAAAGATTTGCTCATTGGTCAAAGAAGCTTGACATCTTAGTCCATAGTGGTATGGTTCATTGATGAGGCACATGTAGTCTCCCAAAACTAAAAAGATATTGTTACACAAGGTTATTTCGTATGTGTGTTTGGGTTGAAAGAAACTCTTCATGTGCAAAATATTCATAAACACCATGGTGAGCACTAGCGCACTCCTGTATCGTTGTCTTGGTCACTTATTTAGATATTCATGACACATCTTATATATACATATGACATGCACATAACAAAGTAAGAGTAAAGAATTTGAAAGGGATAAATGATCATGCAAAGGAAGAATATCGCATCATACCTCACACGCCTTAAGTACTCAAGCCCATCTTGTGGTGGACCCGATTCAAAGTCGGGATCACCTTCCACCTGAAAGGCAGGTTTTAGAAGGCTATTATCCTCAATATCACTATCTTCATTTTCATCAAGCTCTTGCCCATTCACTAAGCTATTACTAACAACCTCGGGCAAATGGAGTTCCTCATATGCTTGCTCAATATTTTCGAAGTGCACCCTGCCTGAAACAAATGAAAACACAAGCCTTCATTTCCATGAAAGTGAAGCCAACCATGAAAATTATTACAAGAGTGTACTCAAAGCTGAAAGAAGCAAATGCAGAAACAATGTATGAAATTTGTATGGGGGGAGAAGGGCAATCATGTAGAGTTTTGTTTGTAAAGTTGACATGTGCAGGCAGCCATGTCATTCTTTAATGAGGTCCTTGACATCCCCACAATAGCGCAATGAATTTCCTTGAACCACTACATCAATTCTTCATTTAAGGTCTTTCTTAAATGGGGCCATGACATCTGCATATCTTCCTCCCTAGAGTTCACTAAGCCCTTATTCATAGTGTTTAGAAACTAGGCATCTTTGCATGTCTTCATATATGAAATTCTATGATGCAAAATTTCCAATTGGTTGTCGCCTATGTAATATATAAACAGGTGGTACACTGTTTTTGGCATGTGTTAGTCTATGATGCCTGTGTTAAAAACTTTAAAAACCTGAACACTTCTTTTTAACCTCTTTCGTTGGAATGTCACTATAGAAATACTTAATGTTCTAAAAAATCCCAACTCCTCCTCCTCTAAGTGATGTACAAATGTGCCATGTCTAAAGGGCCAATGCTGAGATTGACATTTGTTAAGTTCTTACCGCGTGAGATGCTGACCATCTCCATGTCCTTCGAACATGGTTGTCATGCATGCATGCTGCATTTGTGTCTATGCAAGCCATTTTCCAGCATCCGTTCACACCTTAGAGCTGACGAACTTGTAATTGTAAACTCATTTCCCAACTTCTCATTTGGATCACACTAGCCCCAGTTTAGACCGAAGCCCTAAAAAACACGGTTGAGTTTGCGAAGTGTCATATAATACCTTCGTTTATTGTCTCATAGTTGGAAAATAAAAGATAACCCTGAACATTTAGTTAGATATACGATAATCTACCGGAAGTAACAGTCTACTATGAAAGATGAGTACTTAGAAATTACAGTCATACAAAACTATGGGAGCAACACTTTGACAAGAAGAACATGAGATTGCAAGGTCACATAACGCAATTCTTATTCCCACTAGCTGCAATATTACTGCTTCTAATTAAGAAAATAAAAAGAGAGAGCAAAAGAAAGACAGGATGCAGCAGTGGTGTGAAAGAACAAAACAAAGGACAGATAAGAGAGAGAGAGAGAGAGAGAGAGAGAGAGAGAGAGAGAGAGAGAGAGAGAGAGAGAGAGAGAGAGAGAGAGAGAGAGAGAGAGAGAGAGAGAGAGAGAGAGAGAGAGAGAGAGAGAGAGAGAGAGAGAGAGAGAGAGAGAGAGAGAGAGAGAGAGAGAGAGTAGAGAGAGTAGTAGAGAGTAGAGACGT